CGCTCGCCTGTTTATAGTCGAATTCTAAAACATCTTCGAGTGACATCGGCAACATCGAACGCACCGCCCGCGCGTAACCCTTTCTCGTGACTTTCGCAACAATCGACATTATTATCATCACAATGTTGACGTTCGAATTATTATTCAAACATTACTAACAAACTTGTGTCAGAACGTTCTTTAAATCTAAAAAAATACAAAGCATTGTCATTAAAATGAGATTCTACGTAGTAATCTGTGATGTTCAATTATTTCTGCAAAACATAAAAGCCATATATTGTTTAATAGGCAGCAATCCCTACGTCGCAACGTAGAAAGCGCATTAGGCATGAACCATATCTAATAAGCTGAACAAATGACGCTTGAAAACCGTCTCCGTAGGTATTTAGGCATTGAATTCCATCGTTTTTCATCAATTTTCTTCGCAGTTAAAGTATTGTAGTTGTACACCAATAATAAGTACCTATTCATTTTATTTCAACGACAAAAATGACATTTTTTCATTTTTACTCAATCGGTTTTCCACCTTGTAGCATCATTATTATCGTAACAATGACGGTGTTATTTGTAACATGATTTCAATTTTTCTTAACACAATTTTCAACTTTATTCAATAGTTTTTCGATAACAAAATCTTTATGTTATATGCTATATTAGTACATTTTCTTCAGCTTATACAGAACTTCAATATATTAAAGTTTATTTGTGTTTCCTTACTACCTTACTAAATCATTGCATTAAAAAATATTCATGTCATCAAGAAAATATCTATGAAAGAATACATTCACTAAGATCAGCCTAACTAGTTGCCGTCTAACATAGATGTAAAAAACGTGATGATCTTATCGCTGTACATCGATCATAAAATTCAGTAATTGACGTGTCTCGTTAGAGTTCAAAATAAACCACAATAGTAAGTTTGAGCAATCAATATTTTACATTATTACAAAATAAATGTTTTCATAGCAAATAGTGTAATTGAAAAATGTTCTTAAAATATAAAAATACTAAAATTATACTCAAAACAAATGTTATATCGATATTATTGGGTTTAAATTCGAATCAAAAAAACTGATGGTTTGCTTGTACTGGAATTCATTTTACTAATTTAAATTTTCAAATGTTGATTTGTATTTAATTCATTGCTTAGTATGTCTTTTTCTTACATACTAAAGACATAAACGAATTAAGTAGTAACTTGGGTATTTCATTTCTTCCTTTTTTATTAATTCTACGAAAAAGAGTCCTTAGTATTTATCCTTATTATACGGTAAAAGTTAATATAGAAAGGATTATAATTATGTCGCTATGCGTGTACATACTAAGTATGTAAATACCTACATATTTGTACGCGACCTTATTGTGCTTTGTAGGATATGGTAATGAAGTCAGGCACAACAACCTTTAAACTAATAAATAGTAACAACCATATACCTGGGATTTACGAAATGTGTAAAAAATAAGCCAGTGACTATAGCAGTCTAATTAAGTTTAAGCGATTATTTTAATTACATTTGCTTAAATTTTAAGCAAATACAATTAGAATAATTGTATTTTAAAAGTTATTATTATTTAGCTATTATATTTAGATTTGATGCTTTATGAAAATTATAAAAGCAAATAAATTCAAAACCACAAATTGTAAGGACTGCAGATTACTGTAGATATGCAAATAATTCTGTAAGTACTCCTTTAGATTGATAGATTTGACAACTTACTATAATTGCCGTAAGTCGTTTCTTTTATTAACAACCTTTTACATATTTTTAAAACAACTCTAAAATAATATCTGCAGATAAGTATAAAAATAAGTACAGCAACTTAATATAAATGCTTATTTGCCGATATAATTTTAAAAGGCGCTTGGAATGTAACGAACATCTAGTAAGATTTCAATCAAATAGGACAAAAAATAATCATAAAAGATTTATGTATTAATCAATATGCAATCAGGTATTTATAATAATTATCTTTTTAGTTCTCATAGCGTCTCTAACATTTAAGGACAGAAGCGCACTTCGAAAGAATTAAAAAAGAGAGATCTAAAAGTTGCATGTCTATACAAATTATTATAAAATAACAAAGAAGGCGATGATCGTTTTCTGAAGCGGATTAAAATAGACGTTCGGTTCAGATGATACGGGTTCGCCATATTCGGTGGCGAACACATTTGTTTAAATTTCGCGGCTCGGGTTATTGTGGGTAACCGGTCGCATTTTTATTCGCCCGCAAAGGAGGGTAGATTCGTATCCCTCTCCGGTTGGTCGCGCGCGGGCTT